ATATGTTTTAGATTAAAATGATTTTTTTTAACATTTTTAAAAACTTTTATCGTATAAAAATTTACAACAGTTCATATAAAAGTTTAGATTTGATTTTTATGTTGTAAATGTATGTATTGTTTTTTAAAGCTTAACACTGTATGATATTCAACACTTTCTCTCCCAAAGAGAAGGTTAAATTCTTAACCATTTAAATACTGGACAATGGCCTTGCAAGGACTAGGAGCCTAGGGCCTACGATAGTATTAATCCGGGCCTGCTCACGCACTACGAATATCTTTTTACGATTTACCGTCTTCGATGCACGTGGATTGCGGTCGATGAAGTGTTTACGTACGTGGTCGCCATTCATTTCAACAATTAAATCTTTGTCCCTCGACGCCCGTGTAACGATCATCTATTTAAACGTTTAAGATGTAACGGGTGTCGGTAACAGCACTTGCGTGGCCGATAGAAATGAATGATAATGCGCGTAGATCTGACCGTCTTTGAAAAAAAAAAAAAATAATTATAAAACACTTCCAGTCAAAAGTATGGTTTCCGTAGCTTATACGCGTATGGGATAACGACTGTTTCGTTTCCGGAACATGCGAATTCCGCACTGTGTAGCAAATCAGAACGAGGAGCAAGTGGGGGAGTGACTTCGCCTTGTCGACCACACGCGCAGTAAAATTACGATTACGAGCGTGGAATTAATAATAATGATAACATACGGCAAGGAATCTCGTTTTCTATAATAAAATTAAAAACAAGGATAATAATATCATTTGAAAAAAAGTTAATGTATTAAAAAAAAAAAAAAAAACAAAAAACACGCATGAGAAAAACGGACGAGCGCGTGTGGCGCAGGTACAAGTTCTACGAACTGATATTTCACACCGAGGCCAGACGACGGACATTAAGGCGACGGGTTCTTGTATTAATTATGTAGTTCGTAGCGGCGCGCGCGTAACGTGTAGTTTTGACAATATTTGTTTTTACGGAGCGACAACATATGGATGGGAAAGAAGATATTATTATAATAATCCGTGTGTGCAATAAAAAATACGATTACAGAATGACGCGATGGTAATACACTGGGGGGGGGGGGGTGCGCCGTTCGATTTCGTTTTACTGCGTACTATAATTATTACCATTATGATTATTATAATCATTAATCATTATTATTGTCGTATAGTATGGCGACCATCGCGAAATCGACGAATCGTGCGGAGCGAGTACACTTTGTCACGTCGGTCACAATTGCAGAGGAAATGAAACTCGACCTGTAAAGTATATTTTCTTCCGATCGTTCAGTAAAAAACAGCAGTAGTGCGATGCGCACCGGAAATATATGCAATTAGCGTGTATGCTTAGGATATACACGATACAATATCGTAGCCGTGAAAATTACATATTTATATGTAATTCATTTAAGCCCTTTAATATCACAACTTTAATTTGTCATTCTATCAACACCTAAAGCTTACGGTTCTTGAGGGAATTTCTGTTGCGTTTTTGCGAATAAAATATTTACAAGTATACGAATTATATTTACAAGTGTAATATGGCGTTTATAAACAAACAATTACACAGTCCTGCGACTACTTTGTTGTTTCAAATTTTTGCATTTATATTTATAGATTTTGATGCGCTGAATTCAAATTTGTAATCAATTTTTCTCTAACACGTCTAGTTTTTCCACAATTTGAACAATAAATATTGTATTTTCTTTACAGTATTACAATAATATGCGATATATTCATAAATTGAGTTATTATTATTAACTCAACGTAGTATACTTTACTGAGACTTAAATCTTATCTTTATTACATTTTTTATCTTATAATAGTTTCATTAAATATATTTTTAAACTCATACAATTTATGTCTATTCTTTATAGTTATACTCATTTTATTTTTCATAAAATATCCGAGTTCTTTATCACATTTCTATGATTTTATTCGTGTGATTTTTGATTTTCAATTTGTTTAAGTATGACGTCTAAAACCATTTAAAGAAGATGTTGTAAAAACAATTCAAATTTATTTTGTTATATATGTGATAAATATGTTATAATGAAACAACGAAATAACACAACAAATTTTGTTAGAAATGTATACTACGAATATTTTGGTATTCATTTAGGAGATCAAGATAAATCTTGGGCACCCCATACTGTTTGCCGATCCTGTGTTGAAGGTTTGCAAAATTGAAAACAAGGTAAGCGTTTATCAATGCCATTTGGAGTACCAATGGTTTGGTGAGAACCAAAAAATCATATTGACGATTGCTATTTTTGTATGATTAATATTTGTGGTTATAATAATAAAAACAAATCAAAGCTAATTTACCTAAATTTATCTTCTGCTATACGACCAATATTACATGGCCCTGAATTACCAGTATATGTACCGTCAGAAACTTTCGAAACTATTTCAAACCACGATACTTCTATAGATTCTGATGACAATCCTAGTAATAATGATGAAGACTCACTACAGATGCTCCACAACTTTTCAATCAATTTGAATTAAATGATTTAGTACGTAATTTAGCTTTTACTACAGAGGCAGCTGAAATTTTGGGTTTGAGATTAAAAGAAAAAAAATTACTTGCAGAAGGTACTACTTTTTTTTTGGTACAGGAATCGTGAAATCGAATTCAAACAATTTTTTTAAAGGACGGATCGCTTGTATTTTGTAATAATATTTCTGGATTAATTCAATATTTAGGCAAATATTATAATGTGAATGAATGGAGGTTGTTTATAGATTCATCTAAAAGAAGTCTATAAGTTGTTTTACTTCATAACGGAAACCAGTTAGCGTCTATTCTCATTGCACATTCTGTAAATTTAAAAGAAACATGTGAAAACTTACATTTACTGTTAGAAAAAGTTCAATATCCACTACATTAGAGGATTTTTGGTGGTGACTTAAAATTTTTGGGAATGTTATTAGGTCAACAAGGTATACTAAGTTTCCATGTTTTTTATGCGAATGGGATAGCAGAAATCGTATGAAACATTGGACGGTGAAGTATTGGCTAAAAAGACAGAATTTAGAACTGGGAACTAAAAATATAATAAATCATAATTTAATTGAACCACAAAAAGTTTTATTATCTCCTTTATACATAAAGTTAGGAATAATGAAGCAATTTGTAAAGGCCCTTGATAAAAATGGACATTGTTTCCAATATCTATACCATAAATTTCCTGTATTATCTGGAAAAAAGCTCAAAGAAGGTATATTTGACGGACCACAAATCAGAATACTAAGAATAATAATACTATGAAAGATACAGATTTTCAAAATAATATGACCACCGTAGAAAAAAAAATGCATGGACTAGTTTTAAAAGCGTGGTGTCGAAATTTTTAGGTGATACGAAAGATCTAGATTATAAATCGATCGTAGCTGATTTATTGAACAATTTTCAAGTATTGGGCTGTAATATGATTATAAAATTGAATTTTTTAAACTCGCTTATTGACTATTTTCCGGAAAATTTGGGTTCATTAAGTGATGAACAAGGTGATCGCTTTCATCAAGACATCAAAAAGATGAAAAGGCGATTAATGTTGATAGGATGTTAGTATGATAGCCGATTACTGCTGGTGTTTAAAACGTGAAAATGAAAAACAAAGCTGCAAAAGAAATTCAAATAAATTTAGTTTTTACGATCCTGCAAAAAAAAGAACTGAAAACAGATTACTTTAATACACTTTTTCTTTAATACTTTAAAAGTAATAATGTAAATAAACAATTTTTTTTGAAATAACTATGCTTAATAATAATTTGAATTTCACTTTAGTTAAATTTTTAGAAATTAAAATATTTCTTTAATTTAAATAGCAAATAAAATAATATACTAATAATAATATACTATCTTATAAAACCCAATTGTAAAAACTAGACGTGATAGAGACAAAAAAATTCAGATTTAAATTTTGAGCATTAAGATCTATAAAGATCAGGTAATATTATACAAACAACAAAAACAAAAAAATATTTCACAGGACTGTGTTATTGTAATCCAGTCGATTTACCCTGTTTCGTCCAGAAAATTTTTTAATTATTTTTGATTATCGTTTTTATTTTAACCCTACACGAACCATCTAACGTATCATGTATTATATTATATAATAGTGAAAAAACTGTAACAAATGTTCAACTTATTCGGTAAACTTTCTAACAATTTTTCTTTCATACAAACCTTGTCCAGAAAATTGCAATTACAACAACGACCCCAAATCAGTCAAATCGATCAAGCCGTTCACAAGTGATTATTTTACATACATAAGATAATTTATTTTTATATATAAATAACGTTGTGCCTTTTAGTATTGAACATTACCTTGTATGTGTACAATTACATGTTCAGAAATACCAACCATGGAGTAAATGAACGTAAAAACTATAATTATTTTAAAAATTATTGTTTAAATTTTGATCGTTTTATAAACATTTCATGAACTCAATAATCATGATATAACAAATATATGCCATTGAAAATCAAAACAAATCGTTATAAAGTAAAATAATTTATGTAAAAATGAATATATTACGGTTGAAAAAAAAAAATTTAAAAAAAAAAACAACTTATTACACAACATTCGTTGACATTTTGAAAAAAATCAAAAACACAGATTTGTAAAATAATAATTTTGGTGCATAAAATACAAAAACGAAATTTACAAAAAAAAATCAACAAATTCAATAGTTAATAAAAATAACCATTTGATCATAATCAAAAAAGTAAATATGAAAAATAATAATGACGTGTAGAAAACACAAAAACAAAATAAAAAGTCAAATAGTTTTGAAATGTACCATTTCAAACAGGTAAAACAGCTTATAAAAATAAAAAAACTGTTTATAGAGTATCCCTAAGGTTTTACTTGGCTATAAGGTGCAAAATTACATATTTTAGTAGACATTGCTTCCTTCGAATTGTCATCGTTTATAATTAAACTGCAATTGGTCCAGTTTCTCTTCGCTAAAATTTTAATAATACTAATTAATCTTGAGCTTGATATTTAACGCTTTACACAGCTTTTCGATTTCGACTTGCACTTGTAGCGTCGTGTTGGGCTTCTTGTACAACTCGAACAGACAGTTTATTATAGAAGCTGTCCACGGACTGTCCGGACCTAAGTCTCCCTCCGAGCAAGATCCGAGTATGTTCGTCACCAACTGCACGACGAACAGCAGCTCTTCGCTACCTTTCTCGCGCGCTTCGTTCAACAAGTCTTCCAAGGCAATATCGTCCTTCGATATCGGTTTGTTTTGCGCCAAAGTGATCATGCCCAACCAGTGTCCCAGATTTTTGATTAACCATTTATCCGCCACACTTGGAATGCCGACGTTTCTTCTCAACAGAATCTAAAACCATAATATTTACATTCTCTGTCAGTACAATTACAATATAATTGAACTAGTTTATTTTATTGATTTGATTGTTATTGCGATATGCTGTACAGAATATACATTGCGGAGTGAAAATAGTAGATTAATATGTATATATACTATATTGTAACGCGCAAAACCTAATGCCCCATCCACCAATAATAACCATTCGCTTGAATTTATCCAGCACGACTAGTCAACTCTTAAATAGGATTGAGGAACAAACATGTATTATGAAATTTTTTTTATTCTAAAAAAATGCAATACTTTAAAATCTACATAAATTCTCAGCACTTCAAACAAATACAAAAATTCATAATATTCATAACAGGGTATCTGTTTTTTTATTCAAATGATTACGATTGTATTTTACAAAGATAATTTTAGTAGAGATTATTTTTATCTTCGTCTAAATAGATTGTTGATATAATATCTTTATCTTTATCTAGAAAAAAAAAAAAAAATTCCCGGTTCAACACTGCTCGTCATTTACCTTAATTTTCTTGATGGTATCCGACAGGACCATCGAATTCAGCCTTTTGTTGTTCAAACAATTCAACACTCTTGAGTACAGATCGTGAAAGTTGTACTCGTGTCGCACCCGTTTTAAGACAATGTACCTGGACAACCACGGCAAGTGTTCTTCGGGGATCAGAAGCTTTATCGCGTTGCACTGTAACAGAATCATAAAACACGGAAGGTTAGTAAAATAAGCTGTTGACAAGATTGTTTCACTAACGCTGCAACGTTTGTTCGTAGTATGAATTAATGGAAAAAATTTAAGAAAGAAAAATAAATCAAAATGGAAATATCAACTGTGCATAATCAACGTATTCGTATGGATTCTTACCTTGGTTTCGAGATTCGTTTTACTCAGGCTGTTGATAAGATAACGAATTTCGCCCTGTACAGCTTTGGACGGTACGATTATCTTGTCATCGTCAACCGTCGCGGCGATCGTCGGAGGTTCCGATTTTGGCGACGCATCGGCCACCGCGGCGATCGTCGGATCAGGTTTTGGCGTTTGCTCGCAGATAATCGTGTCTTGGGACCGCGAATTGTTTTTTTTCTCGCCGCTATCGGTTTCCGATATCGTTTGCTCGTCGGTGGCTAGTCGTCTAGTCGGTGGTGTAAGCCTGACCATATCGTCGACCACGTCCTGCGCATAACATAGAAAAAATGGTTGGAACCAGAGGCGTAGATACCATTTTTTTTTTTTTTTTTTTGGGATGGTGTTGAAGTTAATTTATAATATTATATCTTAATACGAGGTTCTACAAAATAATATTACATTTACAATGGTATTATTATTATTATTATGTCCCGTATTAAATTAAAATTATTTTGTTTAATAATTAAATATAATAATAAAAAAAAAAAAAAATTGGGAGTGTGGAAACCCCAGATACCCTCCCCTCTGTACCTATACCACTGGTTAGAACCAATATCTAAATGGTGTTTCAAATGAAAACGATCATGCGTTTCGTTAGTTTTTTACACAAATATCTTTGTTTGCGTTCAAACGGTACCATTGGACGTATACGAACTGTATAAAACAAAACATTATATCAAGTAGCAGTGTTGGGGTCGGATCTAAAAATAAATTTTAAAAAAAATACATAATTAAATAATTTAAATCGGACAAATCCGAATTATGACTACAGAATTTCATTGATTAATATAGTTTAAAGCCTAATCAGCGTCCACTATTCACCTATTTTTGATTTATAATATAGTTATTTAATTATTAAGATTTAATAAGTAATTAGTATTGTATTACGTTATTTTTCAGCATTTCAAATTTACCTCAATAATATCCGGTGGAAAATCATCAACTTTATCAATTTTTTCAAGCCGGACACACAGTTTCGAAAAATTTTTCAATTTTGTTTTAAATCGATCAAATGCTATATAACTGAAATTAAATGCATTAGCATTTTGAGTATTCCTCAGATCATATAATATATAAGTAATAATGGTTTTCAATGTATTTTTATCACTAAAAAATAAAATAAAAAAAAATATTTTTGTTAGTTTTTATTTATATCGATAGAATTTGATTTTTAAGTTTATGCAAATTAAATAACTTATAAAAGGCTACTTACGATATAAATCCATGCTTTAGAAATCCGCCAATGAAATTAGCCATTTTGAAAATATTTCGATCTGAGTATGATGAATATAAATGAAAATCTTTGATTAAACGTTTCACCATGCTACAGATAATTTCCTACACGAATAAAAATACATTGAGTTAGAAAAAGGAATATTGTAACAACAGTTATAACTAATTTATCATGACAATTTTAATAGTATGATATCAGTCTGATTTAACTACTGAATTCAATGGCATCGTCATTTTATTTTCCATGTAGATTAAGAAAGCATCATTCGCTTCTATAGGAGCAACTAGGGGGGCGCAATAAGGTTTTTAGCATCTCTGAATTCAATTATAGCACTCCTGTTTTTGTTTTCAGATCTATATAATCTATAATAATTACAGTTAAACACCATTTAATTTAATTTTCAGCAATTTTAACACCCTCAATATTCGGGCTCTAGTTGCACCCATATTCACTTGTTTATCGTTGTAACTATTTCAATTTGTGCCTCAAAATTCTCATCAGATACAAATATAGCGAATGAATTATGTTATTTGTATATATATATATACATATATGTTACGGGCAAAGTATACAATTTGGGCATTTTATACATTGTCCGGACAGTTTAAAATGCCCTTCGTATATTGGGAAATATAGATGACGAATGAAATGATTTAATGAGATATGATAAATCGTAAAACATAATTAAAATAAAGTCAAATTATTATCTGTAATTAGTTTGTTTGTTCTTATCATATTTTTACAATGGGGATGTCTGCTTATCCACATTATACGTGTGTACGTGACATAATATATTATTATTCTATTTACTGATTTATAAGTTATATTATAAGTAGTTGTAATGATTATCGTGCAATCGGCTTTTTACCTTATCTCAAAAATGAACTATTTTGCAACCGCGAATCGTTTATATAGTGCAGGTTAATTCATTCAGTGCGTACCTAATTATTTATTCAAATATGAAAAAGTTTAATGAAGATTTCAATAATTTGTTAAAAAAAAAATTCAAATACTTCAATTTTTACCAAGTTAAAATATGATCAATTAATTTTACATGTAAATCAATTAAAAAACAATGCAAAAAAAAAAGAACCGAATGATTATAAACTATTAAAAAAATATAACGTGGTAAAAGTTTCTGATGTTAACAAATTGATTGTACCAGTATCTGAAAACAACGAAATTAAATACTACGTACATAATGAAGAGTTATTTGATGTTATACATAATGTTCATTTATCGATTGGACATGGTGGACGAAACAGGAACAGGAGGTAAATACAAAATATAAAAATATCACCAGAGATATGATTATGCTATACTTAAATAGTTGCGAATCATGTAAAAAAAAAAGGAAGCACAGCCAAGAAAGGATTGGTGGTGCAATTAATTATATCTACTGAGATGAATTAATCAATAATATAAATACATGTCATTATTCATTGATTTATCATATTTAATTAAATCATATCTATATATTATATCTGTTATCTATATTGCCCTATATACGAAGGGCATTTTATATATTGTCCGGACAATGTTAAAATACCCAAATTTTATGCTTTGCCTGTAACATATATATGGATATACAGTTCCGTATTTACGTGTTCTAGGGGTTAAAACTTCCCCCAATATTTCTAAAACAAATGATTGTTGCAATGCTATGAAAGCTTTGCCTACATGTAATATATTCAAATATATTTAAATAATGAATTATTTTCATTACACTACCCAATTTCAACTGTACAAAATTAAAATTATTTTCGTTGTTACAAAGGATAAAGATTTATTTACATAATACTACGGACAAATTAGATGTATTTTTTATATTACTAAGATTATATTATACTAATTATCATTAAGTCTTAGTAAATAATAAGTATCATAATTATTATAAAATGTAATTAGTTTATAATTGTTCTGTGTAGAAAACACTTGATAGGTCGGCAATGCTTTCAATCAATCGGAAAGTTCATATTTAAAGTAATCAAGTATTGAACGAATTGGCATTAAAAAAAAAAGTCGTGTTCCTTTAACAGTGTAAAATTAACTATTGAATCTATGCAAAGTTTAATCAACTTAATTATAAAATTACCAGCTAATCTGAAATCAGTTAATGTTTTATTCATTTTTAATTTTCGTATTTTGTTTCGGTAACAATTCCAATCACAAATTTAAATAGTAATCCAGTTTTTTTTTTTTATAGAAATATTATAATTTATAAGGTGTTTTTATATAATTGAGTTATTTATATAAGTGCATATATAGGTTAACTATAGAAGTATAACCGTTACTACTTACTAATGATAATTACTTTTGCTTATATTTTTAGTTCTAATGCCAGAGGCTAAAATATATACTTCTTTGGTATGCACACTTAAGGATTTTGTCATACTCCCCTTTCAAACGTTAACAGCAATAAGAAAAAAAGTTAAAATAGTTGGTATTTTAGATTTTGCTGTTGATACATCTTGGAATTTTAAAAATATGTAAAATAATTTAATAATAAATGTAAAATTAAAAACAAATACCATAATATAAAGCAAGGGCTTATTTGAGTTAAGGCCATGGGAGGAGGGGCAAAACTAATTTTTCTTTAAAACAAACTAAAATAGAAAATATTAAACTTTTAATCAATAATTAACTTTCAAAAATGATTTTAAAGTATAGCAGTTGGTAAGGAGTGGGTGGTCAAGATGTAGCCGTTTATTGGTTGACTATTGATAAAATCTATTCTCAACATTTAAAGCATCCCTTAACTAAACAATAATGCAATCATAAAGAATTATTTATATTTTAATACATATTTTATATTTAGTTTTAGTTTTATTACGTATGAAAATAAAAAAATTAATATTTATTTTTATTGATACATTTTAGTTATTTTAATTTTTCTCATTCATCTGTAGAGAAAAATCAGATGTTTAATCAATTTTAATATTTATATTACATTTATTTTTTATTCATCAAAATTAGCATTCGATTTCATGCAATTTTAACAATTTAATAAGTGAAATACAATCATTATGATTGTAAAAATTATTTTTTCTAGATTAATTTTCAAATTCGTACTTATATAAATTATTTTAAAGTTTTACAATCCAATTTTCATAATCTAAAAAATTTCAAAAGCATTTTGTGTGTTTTTAGGAGTTAAAATGTATTTTTACATGCAAGAATTTTTCTATTCAAATTTTAACCTTTAACTGGTATCGTTTATATCAATTTTTCATCGTATCCATCAATTGTATTTTAGTCCATGGCTTTGGACTACTTATATTTTTCTGTATCAGTCACAATAATACATTTTTCATTTCATGAAAGCTATTAATATCTGTTGCGAGTCATTTATGACTCAAGAACACCTGTTACGCATTTATTTTTTTATATCTTGTAGTCATGTAATTATTATATTGAAATGGATAATTTCAGGCTTTGCCTCAAATTAATTTTAGCTTAGGAGATGGGTGATGATTAAGATGTCAAATTGAATGTAATAATATTATTTTTATATTCAAAAATTAATTTATAAATATAGATTACAGTCCACCACCCGTCTGTCCAATTAGTGATTAGTCGAATTAAATTAATGTAGAGTTAACTACGTATATATATATATTTTTTTTAATGAGTGATTTAAATGTTATAAGTTGGTTAGAAAAAATAGATGGTGATAATTTGAGTGTTATGAATAGGCTAAGATTTTGGACTTAAATTTTTTTAATAATTTTACAAATTTAAATATGCCTTGAGATGCATAAAATATTGTTTGTAATTTATTAGAAATAAAAATAATTTATGAACTTGATTATTTTTATTTTTTCGACTTAGTATCTAAGCTAAAACAAAAACTTAGAGTACTTCGAACCTGATTGTATAAGATACAAAATAATATTAAAATAAAAATGACTAAACAAATGTTTAAAAAATATCCATGTAAAATTGTATTGTTAAAAAAAAACTAACTCAAAATAATATTTAATATAAAAAACTATGTCATTAGGGAAGAAAAGATCAT